AAAATATTGTGCTGGGAGGTGTTGAAAAATGCCTGGAAGACAACACAGTCATCAGTCACAGCCAGCACGACTTTGTGAGGGGAAAAYCCTTCTTGTCAAACCTGATATCCTTCTACAATAGGTAACCCACCTAGATGATCTAGAAAAGCAAGGAAATATAATGTTATTGGACTTCAGCAAAGCTTTTGTTACTATCTCCCACAGGATCATTCTGGAGAAAAYGTCCAGCTCACAGCTGGATAACCCCAAGAGGTGAGCAAACTCCCTAATGGGTCAGGAACAAAGGGTTATAGTGAATGAGGTGATATCAGGCTGGTGTCTGCTCACTAGTGGGGTTCTGCAGGGCTCCATCCTCTGCCCCGTGCTYTTGCACATTTTTATGTATGACTTAGATGCAGGACTCAAAGGAATACTAAGTAAGTTCGCCAAGGACACCAAACTGTAAAGAGCTYTTGACACCCTTAAGRGCAGAGGCCCTGCAGAGAGACCTCAACAAATTAGAGAGATCTTTCACAAGGRCAAGTGCTGGATTTGGCACCTGTGATGGGACAACCCTGAATGCATGCATAGACTWTGGAATGAGATGCTGGAGAGAAGCACTGTGGAAAGGGACCTGGGRGTCCTRGTCAGTGGCAAGTTGAACATGAGTCAGCAGTGTCCTGGCAGCCAGGCCAGAGACAAGCAGGAGRRCCARCCCTRYCCTGGGGTGCATCAGGCACAGCATCACCAGYCGGGCAAGGGAGGGGATTGTCCTGCTCTTCTCTGACCTGGGGCAGCCTCACCTCAAGTGCTGGGGGCAGTTTGGGGTGCCACAATATAAATGAGACATTGAGTTACTAAAGAGCATCCAAAGGAGTGACACAAGGTTGGGGAAGGGTCTAAAGGGTAACCCTTATGAGGAGCAGCTGAGGTCACTTGGTCTGTTCAGCCTGGAGGAGACTGAGGGGAGGCCTCATTTTGGTCTTCATTATACTCAACAGGGGAAGCTGAAGGATGGGTACCAATCTCCCCACTCTTGTGACCAGTGACAGAATTTGACGAAATGGCGTGAAGCTCAGGCAGGGGAGGTTTAGGTTGGATATCAGAAAAAAAAGTCTTTATCCATAGGGTGATTGGGCACTGGAACAGGCTCCCCAGGGAAGTGGTCACAGCACCAAGCCTCACAAAGTTAAAAAAGTGTTTGGACAATGCTCACAGGCACCTGTGTGACTCTTGGGCTGTCCTGCACAGGGTCAGGAGTTGGACTCGATGAGTCCAACTCGTTGAGTTCCTTCCAATTCATCATATTCTACAGTTCTATGACTCTATGAACTACAGAAAAATCGTTCACAGTCATTATTATCCATGTCAAACTACTCARTCAAGGAAGAAACTGAAGAATATTATATGTGCTTGAAGAAACAAACAAACAAAACATCTTGTGAATGTCACAGTTTGAAACAGAATCAGTATCTTTATTCACAGTCTCTTGTCACAGGCAACAGACAGAGCTACTACTAAAATGTTCAAGGTCATTTACTTAATTGTACTTATAACATTATTGGGCATTAGCTCAAAATGATTACGCAGAAAATTATTGCTTATGTTCCAAAATTATCATTTGCTCTGAAAAGTTGTGTACAGCAGAGAAGTAATTTGTGTGACTGTATGCCTCCTTCTATAAATAAATGTCTAAATTTTAGATGCAACAGTAAATCATYACATAAGTACAATTAAGCTGAAGCACTGAATAGTTTGTCTCAGAATGGAAAAGTACTTCCTAAGAAAACCKTTTATAGAGAGCAGGTTCAGATAGGAGTCTGACTTCACAGATTTCAAAATTTGTGTCTTGCAGGCTAGGTATGCACAATGACCCTTCAATCTAATTTCATCATCCTTTTTATTAAATGGATTCACCTATTTGTTTCCCAACAGATCTAAAGAAAACATGAGGAAGAACTACTTTACTGAGCAAGCAAATGAGCCCTAGAATAAGCTGCCCAGAGAGGTTGCAGTCTCCTCATTGGAGACATTTAAGAACCATGTGGATGCAATCCTGTGTCATGAGCTCTAGGATGACCCTGCTTGAGCAGGGAGGTTGGACAGGATGGCCCAATGTGGTCTCTTCCAACCTTACCCATTCTGTGATTCTGTGAAAATACATTTTTTACATTTTTTTTTATTTTAAATAAAACCACTGTCTGAAAGATAAATTGAATTATGTCCATAAGGTGAATTAATTCCAGAACTCACTTATTAAAAAATGTTGAACATAAGAATCCCTTTAATAAAAATAACAATTTTATCTGAAAATTGTTTCTCCTAACAAGATTTAGTAAAACAGTCTTCTGAAATGCTTTCTCACCAAAAAAAATCTGGCCAAATCATTCACTATATGGAGATTGCCTTACTGTCTTTAAAATTTAGAAAGGCAGCTCAGAGGCTTTACGATTTCCCATAGCACGATTACAGTTGTTTGATAGCATCCTGTTACGCACATATGACAGATGAAGTGCAGCACATTTGTATGTACTACTTTAAACATTTTTTAAAAATGTAACATAATAAATTTCAATTTACAACAGAAWTACTCCAAACCCAAATTGGTAGAGTCAGGGTTACTTGTCATATAAGGCATCAAGTAGATCCCACTAGGTGCGTTGAGCGATTGACCSTGTTTGGTCTTTAAAAGACATAGACTAACTCAGCTGTACTCCCTGGGGCCTAATGGTTTGACAGACTGATGATGGTGCAAGAAGCTCAGACATAARGTAACTGCCTCTTTCTCTTTGATTTTTTTACATGTGTATCAGCAATTACATATTAAGTAATGCAATAGCAATGACCCGTCCTTTTCTCCCAGACTTAATGTGAACAGGAATAAGGTTGGAAGGGACCTTTAAACATCGTTTATTCTCCTGTATGGACAGGGATACTTTTCTCTACATTAGCTTCCTCAAAGCGTTATGCAACATGGCCTTGAACACTTCCAARGATGGCATATATATAAATTCTGTGGGTGATCTGTTTCAGTCCCTCGCCATCCTCACTGTAACATTTTCTTCCTTATGATCAATCTAACCCTACCTTTTTTCCCTTTAAACCTATTGTTCCTTGTTCTGTTACTACAGACCCTGGTAAAAAGGCTTTCTCTATCCTTTTTGTAAGTTCCCTTCATATATTGAAAGGCTACAATAAGGTTTGCAYAGAGCTTTCTCTCTTCCGGTCTGAAAAATTCCAACTCTCTCAGCCTGTCCCCAGAGGAGATATTCCACCCCACTGACTGTATTCATGGCCCTCCTCTGGACCTTCTCCAACTGGTCCATGTCTTTCTTGTATTGTGGGCCACAGAACTCCTCTGTTGATCCAGCTAAACAAAGGATGAACTTTTTATCATTATTTTCTTATTCAAACAGTCTGTGATAAGCAGCGCATTTAGGTGTCTATTATAAACCCTWAGCAAGACAGTTCATTCTTAGATTGGCTCTATCCAGGTCAATGAGAGGATGCAGAGAGGCAAACTCACAGAGCCAGATGGGCTACACAGTTGGGGTGAGCTCTAAGAAAGATGTGCCCGAAAATTAGAACAGTGTTGCACAAACCATATCATTCAGAAATTCATGTGAATGGTCTCAATTTATAYGGCTGGTGATCCTCCCCATTCACAACGCACTTATCACAGTAGCAGGCCATTTAAATAATTTAAATCTAACTTTTTGTTTTGTTCAGCTATGCATTTTATGCTCATACTTGGTTTTATGCCACAGAATGGTCTTAGGATAGAACATTTAACCCCTTTTTTTTTAACCGGTGCTTGAATTTTGCATTTTTATTTTCAAGTCTTTTGTACTGGTCGAAGTACCAGAAATGGAAGAAAACTCCATTTTATATTCACATGACTCCCAGTGCTGTAACTTAAAGGAAGGTAAATTGCAAGGTATTTTTTAATGTTGACAGTAAATGTTCTGGAATATATTAAATTGCATGCATAAAGGCATTGCACATATGGATACACATTTTCTGCATACAGGAGATCATAGAGGTAGAAACACAGACACAAATGTTAACTTGTTCCTCCTGGTTGGAATGGGGCTTAAAGTAATCTGGTTTACTGGAAGGTGCCTCTGTCAGGCTGGAACCAGGTGATCTTTAAGCTTGCTTCCAATGCAAACCATTCTAAAATTTCCTTATTTTCATCTGACATGAAAATATGCTTGAGTATAGGTGAAACTCCTGTCTGTTTCTGAAATGTATACAAGCTTTAAGTGAATTAATAGTCAATTTTGACAGTAATATTGTTATGAAAATCTAAATTAAGGTGTTCTGAACAATGGCTTTCAGAGCTGTTGCTACTCTTTCTTTGTGAAGTACAAAGCRCCACAAACCCAGAGTATGAAACAAGGATTTTATTGATAGTGCATTGTGCCAGAGAGTGCATACTAAGTCTGTATATGAGGGGTAGTTGAATAGGGAAATAAATGATTTAAAAAACATTAATTAAGGTTAAAATCCTTACTTTCATATTGGAGCCCTCAGTGCATTATTTCTTACCATATCATCATACCTCTCTTTCAGGTTGGACTATAATTTCTAGGAGGCACATACATAGCAGATAGGCACTTTAGCAATGGTAGTTAATAATAATAAAGAGTAACTATAAGGACTCATGCCTCTGTTGGGGAGGTCCAACATATCTAGGAAAGTAATGGCTAACATTTAGTCTAGCTCTAAATTCCCCTAATAGTGAGGACATTGTAATTCCTTAAGTTGACTCCACTTGAAAGTTCCTATTGTAACGCAGTTAATGATCATATTGACTTTTAACTTGTGTAGATTGTTACCAGCTGATTATTGCAAGTGTCCTGAAAGCACAGTAAGTAAATGTAAAATGTCACAGAAGAAAATTAAACCAAGATAAGATTTCTATTTGCTCTATGAGCAATGCAGGTTGAAGCACCAGTTTTTTTTTAGTTTGTTTCTTACATGCACATCAAAATAAGTAAATGAAATTAAATACTCACTCCTGTTATGTAACGAGGTCTATACTGGATGGTTCCAAATAAGCCAAGTATGACAATAATAATGTGTATAAAATTTGCGAGGATGGGTGCCCACTGATAACCAAGGAAGTCAAATATCTGCCTCTCGAGCACAGAAACCTATGATTAAAAAGCAAAAGCATAAATAGATTAGAACAATGCAGCAAACATATATGAGGGTATTTCCCGTTCCCATACCCCAGACTGAGTAAAAAAAATACTTGTCAACAGTGAAATGAGTTTGAAATGTTTCAACTTCTTGTTTTAATGAAAGCTGCATTTCTCACTGACTCATATTCTACCAAGATACAAAATTGTTCACTCAAATGRTACCTTTGCAGGAGGAGAAAAACAAATCACTTTGTTATATACACCAGCAAACATTATGTTTTAGGGTCTGGGTGYTGAAAATACGTGATAAACTTATGACATCTTCTCATCTATGTTATTTCAATTCACAATACCATCCTTGTCTCTTTATTGAGCTATTTCCCTGCAGCTGTTTTTTTTCCTCTTCTCTCTATCCCAGTTATTATTTCAGTGGGCTTTTACCTGTAACCAAATACACACAACTTTTTGACTTGGTTCTACTGCTAGTGACTAGTTTACCTTTGTCACAAACATCACCTGAAATATAAACTCCCCCAAGATTCTAGATAAATAATTTTAAATATCAATTGAGGAAGAATCCCAGGCTGATGATTATTGTTTCTAAGCTATACCATTCCAAAGAGATAGATCAGATATTAGATAAACTGCCTTTCTAATAGTTTCACTACAAATAATTTCATAGATGTCCCTTAACTGGTGTTGGACATTATGTAAAAATACAGTACTATAGCCTGACTCATAGACAGAATGACATGTTTTGACAAAAATAATATTCATATTAATTATTAGAAGGAAATTTAATGGTGAAGTGAATTTAGACAGAAAGATCAAAGAGTTTATGTGATAGCATTCCAACAATTTCAGTACCTGGAATGGTGAATTGATGAACTTTATGAAAATGTGAATAATAAGCATAAAATTTAAATTACAAATTATTATAAACATTCTTGATATTAATTAAAATAACAGCAATGGGAACACTGCACAAAAAACTGAGAGAGAAAGAGGAAGAGAAGAGAAAGAGAAAGAGAAAGAAAGAGAAAGAGAAAGAGAAAGAGAAAGAGAAAGAGAAAGAGAAAGAGAAAGAGAAAGAGAAAGAGAAAGAGAAAGAGAAAAGAGAACGGGAAGGAGGGAAGGAGGGAAGGAGGGAAGGAAAAGAAAGAACAAGCAGGTTGTTTCTTGATTAAGTTTCATTAAATAACAGATGACTATTTACTGAGTTTATGTTATGTGTGGATGTACTAAATTAGGTTTGTGTGCCACCACTCCATTTAAAAAATAACACCTTTTGAGATCAAGTTCTAAATGAATAATTAAGTACCGTTCACCACTGTTCTTGTGTGATATAGCTATAGGAGAATTTTTCAATTCTCATGCCACAGTCCACTGTCACACCAACACTTTCTTTATGAAATTAAGAAAACTTTCCATTAAAAGACAGCCTACATTTACATCAGCATTGCAAATTTAAAAAGGGTGTTAATTATCTATTATTAACTGACACGCTGAASTTTGAGATGGAGACAGTGAAAATAATCCTGGGAAAGATTGTCAGCCATTTAATTTCAAATTTGAGTGTTCAGGTTTGATGTCAAACAGTGAATTTCTCTCTTCAAGAAAGACCCCTTTCACACAATTCATCCTGCTTATAACCACTTAGTATTTTGACTATCATTATATTTTACATATTTATTGAAACAGATTATCTTCATACATTATCCAAAATCTTTCTGAACCGATTTGTGCTATCCTACAACTCTCSCTAGAAGAGGAACATCATAGAAGAGTTCCCAGAATCTCAGAACATGTCTAATGGTGACAATGGGATGAAGAAACAAAAGGAAGATCAAACTGTATTATGAATTTAATGAAAAATCAGACTGCCTGTGCTTCTAAGCTTATAATTAGGAAATATTTCCTTGACTACAGGTAGAGTCTTATACTAAAGGTAGAGTTTTATACTAAAAAAAAGGCCAACGTGTGGCATAAAGCAGTGTTACTTAGGTCAGTGTGAAGTCCATTAGGGTATCAGCAAAAGACCTGTTACACCTTAAGAGCTGTTAAACAGGTAACAAARGGAAAATGCTCCCTCTGAGCACAGAGCTCTTAATTTTCATCAGTTAAACAGAGAATAAGTGAGAATAGCAAAGCAGTAGCAAGAAGAGTCTAGACTGTACAAGCTTCTAGTACAGTAATAGYAGAGATTCAGCAAGCAAAAAACAATTCATGGGAAGATACAAATCATTCAAACAGCAGGAGATCATCCAGTTAAGTATGCCAATTATGGAGGAAAATTGCACCATGCTAGTTAATTGTACAAAAAGAAGAAAACCTCATATCCCTGCCACAACTTTTAGTCTAAAAGGAAACTGTCCTATCATGCATCAATATGCTTTGTTTTTCTTGTCTTGGTGAAAGATAAGGTTCCACCAAAACTTGTTTATGGAGCATTGGATAAATGGCAATTCTGTGAGAACCTTTCCTTCTCACACACCAATTTACTTTTTGKTTTTTTTTYCCCTGGGACTAGCAATTTCTTCAGTACCAAGCAACCACTCCCAGATTTTGTGGTCACGTTGAAATTCTGGTGAGTAAATCTACCAGAAAGCAGGGCACACAAGGCAGTGGGTAAACACTGCCTGTGCAGAGGAAAAAGATAAGTTTTCATCCTTTCTGTCCTTGTATCTCTACTCCCCATTTGCCACAGGCAAATTAGATTTTCTCACATCACTTCAAGAAATCAGCTGTGTGTGGGGACTGCTGGAAATGTGAAATGGCAGCATTCTGGTAGGGTATGCACAGATGAAATGCTGTGGAAACGCAGCTCTTCCTTAGAAGATCAGACTAACCCGGCAAGGTGCATCGTGGATTTATCAAATGGAAATTACAGGACAGAACTAGATCTTTATTCCCATTTCCTGAAGAGATGAAGGTGGAGAGAAAAATAAAACTATTCTACACACAAACATAAATATAATACAGGCTTTTTACATTAGCTACTTTTAAAAAAATCTTATTTGGTCTGTGTTTCTAAAAGGAGAAAAGCAGAAAGTAGGACAAAGTASTGACAAAGACTATTAAAAATAGTATTATATATCTTCCTCCTCTTCCACAGATGCCAGCATCATAAGGGATTTCCTTACATAGCAAGCTAAAATATAGATCTGATTTTGAAAGCATTTTATTCCTTTATTCCTTTTATTCCTTCAAAATTTCTGGTTAAACAACTGCACTTCTTCAAACCTGCTAGTTTCAAATGTTTAATGATGTTTCAAGGATATTACAGAGAGAAAAGGAAAAAAAAAACTAACAAAGAAATATTGATCTTTAAAGTCAAGGAATTTTCTTTCTTCTTCTTCCTCGGGGTTGGTATTGGAATCAGCACTTTTGAACAYCTTTGTTACTGACATGGACAGTGGGATTTCRTGCACCCTCAGCAAGTTTGCTGATGACACCGAGCTGTTGACCTGCTGAAGRGAAGGGATGCCATCCTGACAGACCTTGACAGGCTTGAGAAGAGCAYTTGWGAGAACCTCATAAAGTTCAACAAGGCCAAGTGCAAGGTCCTGTAGCTGGATTCAGGCAATCCCAAGCCCAAATACAGGCTGGGCAGAGAACAGATTGAAAGCAGCCCTGGGTAGACAGACTCAGGCTGTTTGTGTACAAGAAGCAAAACATGAGCAGGCAATGTGCACCTGCAGTYAGAAAGCCAAACACRTCTTGGGCTGCATCYAAAGCAGCGTGGTCAGAGGGTGAGGGAGAGGATTCTGTCCTTCTAYTCTGCTCTGGTGAGATCCCATCTGGAACACTACAACCAGCTCTGGGGTCATCAGTACAAGAAAGACATTTCCTGGCTGGAACAAGTCCAGAGGAGGTCACAGGGCTGGAACACCTCTCCTTTGAAAACAGGATGAGAGAGGTGGGACTCTTCAGCCTGAAGAAGAGAAGGCTTTAGTGAAGCCTTTTAGCAGCCTCCCAGTAGCACASGGGCGCTCACAAAAAGCCTGGAGTGGGATTCCTTTAACAAGGGCATGTAATGACATGACAAGGAGGAATGGCCTTAAGATGGAAGAGGGTAGATTTAGATTAGGTATTAGGAAGAACCCCTTCCTTGTGAGGGTGGTGAGACACTGGAACGGTTTCCCAGAGCAGTTGTGGWCACCCCATCCCTGGAGATGTTTAAGGCAAGCCTGGATGGGGCTCTGAGAAATGTGGTCTAGTGCAAGGTGTCCCTGCCCATGACAGGGGTGTTGGAATTAGATAATCTTTAGGGTCCCTTTCAACCCAAACCATTCTATGATTCTATGATTCTGGAAAAGACGAATGACAACAGGAAAAGGGAAAAAGGATGTTTTCGATCAAAAATTATAGTAGGGTTAGAAAAGAAAAAAATGCACTTCAATAATGCAGTGAACTCAGAATGTAGGATTATGTCCTATGTTATTAGGACAAACAGTTCCTAATTAGAAAATAATCATCCATCACTTTGTCTTATTAGGCTTCCAAATTAAAAAAAAAAAATAAAGAAGACTTTATTTAAAGGGAATCATTTTACTAATGCATTATTTTTTTTCTAGACTTCTGCTAACTGTTGTAAAAATAAATGCAAAATAAAATGAACCACCCATATATTGTCACACTGGCATAGCTCTTAAGCTATTTCCAGATTCTTGTCAGAGCCTAGTTGTTAATAGATTAACGGTGTTACTGACCTTGAGGGATCTCAGAATTGAATTTCCAGAGGAAAAGAAAAACCTTTTGGAGATGATTCTTAAAGTATAYGATTGGACTAGAATTTCAGACAGGAACCACAAAGGAGAAACCAGTCAAAAGATGATTTATAACACAAACTCCAAAATGTAAAATGACTAAGTGCCTTTGCTCAGAAAGCTCCCTGAGAAAACACTCAACCACGACTACTTTACAATGATGCAGAATCTAAACTTTGCACTGATATAAATTAAAGTGCACACAGGCACACACACGAGGATATGTGCAGCCCCTTCTAG